TCCTGCTGAGCCAGCTCTCCACCGCCTCGATCTGCCTGCGCAAATTGCGCTCTCGCGCCGCCGTGCACGTCTTCGCTTGCTGCTTCAGCCTGGAGAGACTCGCCAGGAAATTGAGGGTGTTCTCCAAATCCAGAAGGCTCTGACGAGAGGCAGCGCTCGCAATCCTTCCTTCCATGCCAGCCCAGGCCACGAGGTCTCGGTCGCTGCTCAGCCGGAGCAGCAGCTGCTGCTTTCCAGCTTCCAGTTCTTCCCTGCTCCCCTGAATCCTCAGCTTGATTTCCTTGATTTTTTGCTGGATGCCCTTGATCACGTTGTTGTAGCGCGTGTTGTGCTGGATGGGCGTCGCGCATTTGGGGCACACCTTCAGCTGGACGTGTTGGGCCTCCGTCCCCTCTGGCTCGCCATCCATCCACCGGTCCAGGCCCTGCACCTCCAGAACGTGCCCACAGTCTTCTAAGAGCACGAAACGGGCTTCCGGCTCATCTTCGGTGCCGAAGAATATCTCCTGCAGCTCGCCGCGGTGGCACGTGCGGCACTTGGGCGGGCAGGGCTCTCCACAGAGGCCTGCGCAGGGGTGGCTGCAGGAGAGGGATTTTTGGCAGGGCTCGTCGCAGCGGGGGCGAGAGCACGTCTCTGAGCACGGCCGTGTGCACCGGTAGTGCCTGCACTTCCAGGAGCAGGGCTGGACGCAGGGAAAGCAGATCTCCCCGCAGGTCTTATCGCAGCGGCTGTGCCTGCACGTGTTGGGGCATTTTCGTTTGCACGGCGGACAGTTCTCGAAACACGCCTCCTGGCACTGGTGCGAGCACAGAAGGACCCTGGTGCACTTGTTACGGCAGTGGGCATGCAGCCGGCCCTGCACACACTCGAAGCAGCTCCCTCCGCAGTGGTGTCCGCACTCGAGTTCCTGCTCGCACATCTCGAGGCATTTGAGAGGCGTTTTCTGCCTGTAGCATTCGGTTCTCGTTCCGTGGGAACAGGGCAGCGTGACGTCCACCATTTCCACGCACTTGGAGCGGCTGCCTCCGCGTGCACGGGTGCTCGCACTCCAGCAGCTGCCGGCATGGCTCCTGGCAGACCCAGCGGTCGGCCGGCAGGTGGCAGGGGACCGTCTGGCTGTGCCCGCACTTTGGAATGACTTTCTCCACGGCCACGGAGCAAGGCTGGCAAGGTTCATAGCACTTCCTGGGACACCGGTGGTTGAGCTCGCACAGCGTGGGGCACGGGAATCCCGGTCGTGCGGGTGGCAGCGGCGCGGGCAGGGGTGGCCGCATTCCAGCCGGGTTTGGCACCGGAGCGCGCAGCCTCCTTCGGGGACTTTGCTGAAGTCCGAATTCTCCTTCACCACCGTCTTGGTCTCGGGGTGATTTTGGCACACCAGTGTCAGCCCTTCCCCCACCAGTTTCTTGCCCTGGAGGAGCTGCAGAATCTCTTTCCAGAGTTGGCTGGTGGACCCCGCGGCGATGCCGGCCAGGTTCCCCACGCAGTAGAAGCCCTTCCTGGCCCGTGACAGAGCCACGGAAACTGATCCGCCCTTCCCTGTTGCTTCGTACCAGCGAGAGAAGGACGATGTCGTTCTCCTCCCCCTGGAAGTCGTCCACAGCGTGGACAGCCACGTCCCCCATGCCGCTGCTCTTCATCAGCCCACGGATCTTCAGCACCTGGCCGTGGTAGGGGGTCAGAACGGTGAGCTGGCTGGCGGCGTAGCCCTGGTGCAGGAGGTATCTGCTCAGCGAGGCCAGGAAGGAGGCCTCAAACCTGTTGCTGTAGCTCTCGGAGTCGGCGCTGTGGCTCTCGGCCGCCGGGTGCTGGGCAAAGAACACGCTGCCGCCCACGCCCC